TAGGGGTGATCACATTATTTCTACTACTACAGATGTTAGACTCAGTGGCCTGTAGTTTCCAGCTTTTTCCTTACTGCTCTTCACCTGACCCCTGTGTCCTACAACCGGCAGCAGAGACAGCCAAAAGTTAGCAACAGATAAGTACGAATTTGACCACAAATACTACAGGATGGTCGAATGTGTAAGGATGAATACAATGGCCGTGAACATCCGTGCTGCCCAGCACTTTGCTTAACACAATCATTGTATAGGAGACATGCATTGCGGAAGTCTAGAGAGAGAGAGAAGAGGGAGGCACGTTGGAGACATCTCCTGCACCAGTCTATTATGAGGAAAACATGGGCATTTGGATAAGAGTCTCTGATCTGTCCATTGACTATCCCAACAAGATTAGGTTTGTAAGAACCTTCATGTCTTCTGGAGCACGTTCTGTCCTTTCTATGCAATTGTTATGACAATCATCTATGTAGCTGAGAACGTGAAAGGAGACTGTGTAGGAAGAAAGGTTGTAAGGAGTCCATACAAGGTGTGGCCCTGATTCTCTCACCGTAGCATGATAGCAGAGATCCTGTTCTCTGATTGGGGGTGTTTTTGTGCTGATTATATTACAGGATGCCTGGTTCTGCTAGGTCAAGGTCATTCTACAGAAGCTGGAAAGTAAGCCAACTCACCTCTTACACAGAAGAGGATCAAGGCCCTCTGATATAAAAGAGAAAGAGGGAGGTGATGGTGTAGAATACTTGGTATGAAGTGTGTTAGGGTTCTGGAGAAAGTTTATTGGATGACAGAATAACTTTTTAATGTCAACTTATCTCAAATCAAAACTTTATTTTGTGTGTGTGAAGAGATTCTTGAGTGAGTCAAAAATATAAAGTGTGCAGCAGAAAACTCTTCCAGCTAGATAGGACTAACAATGATGAGCCACCTTTTCTGGGGTCTTTTGGTGACGGAAGAAAGAAACAGAAAACACATTCCAGAATTATACAAATAATGTTCTTCCATTGTTCTAAAGATGTCTTCATTAAGAAATTGACCATAAACTGCAATGTTGTCAATTATTTCCCTGAGGAATTCTGTAATGGATAGTATGGGCACAGGTTAAGTCCCCTTCCAATTTACTGGAAAGGTCCAGTTAGTCAACATGCTCCTTCCACCCAACTCCCTAATACACTGCATAGAAGTACCTGTGTGGGAAAAAATACCGTATTTTGCGTTCCATAAGACGCACCGGACCATAGGACGCAGGGAGGTCCGGTGCGCCTTATGGAGCACTTCACAGCCCGTAGATTCTGTCACAGCTTCTGTGACAGAAGCTGTGACAGAAGCTGCAGTTAGTGACTGCTGAGACAGGTTGCGCTGTGATTACAGCGCCACGGTCTCAGTGATCACACAGAGCAGACGAAAAAGGTCCGTTCTTCATCTGCTCTATGGTGATCTCGATCACCGCCGCCGATGCCGCCGCTCGATTTTACTACGAGTGATCTGATTAGATCACTCGTATTAAACGAGCAGTGGCTCCTACTGTACATTTAGCTCTGCTTTAGCGGGGCTAAATGTACATAAAGCTACTCGGCCGGCGCCCGAAACTGCATGTCTCGGCCGTCGGGATTCGCTCCATAAGAAGCAGGCACATTTTCCCCATCATTTGGGGGGGGTGCGTCTTATGGAGCAAAAAATACTGTAGATAAAATACTTACATTTCCCCAACATCCTCCCACAGCACCTAGAAAGAGTCACATCAGTCATCCTGCTTCCGGTCAGATCTCAAAGAATGTTGAGTCGGCCAAATCTTGTGAGAAGCTGATCCTGCACTGTGCTGCAGAGTCATCTGCTTAGATTAGGGCTACTCAGCAATCCTCGCGATCTTGTTGGCAGGAGGATGACGTCACGCACTGCTTTATGGAAATCGGGGAAAGGTAAGTATATTATCAAACTCCCCCCCCCCCCCCCACGATTTTTTTTCGACTTGTTTT